GCATGGTGTTTTCTAAAAACGATCTGTTGAACATGTTTGCTGATGGATGACATAAAATATCAGGACACTTCTTGAATACGAAGCTTGATAGACCATCTAGACTTGAAATGTGAGAAGGGTTCAGGGATTTGATAGATTTGAAAACATCGTTCGCAGTGAACTCTGGACAGCGTTCTTCATTCGACATAGGTGGAGAGAGTGGGATGGGACAGATGGGTTGACGTATAAACGGTTCGTTCAAGGCATAGACACCGAAATGTGCTTCTTTACTGTAGTATTTACCACCGGTGAGGCATTTAAAAAGTTTCCACATGCCGAAGAGACCTTGTACAACAAACGTTTCTGGTTGTAGAGTAGACTCAGACGTTTAATTTCCAACCTAATTAAGACGTTCAATTGACGAGCACCAGCAATATCACTTACCTTATACAGTCTTTCTTTTTCTCTCCCTAGTCTCTTAAGCTGTGTAGAAGATGTACGATCGAAGCGTAGGAAAGCCTATTCACTACGTCAACATATTTCTAGGCAGAACCTGAAATAGCATGTTGCACCATCATTAGCATCATTCAAATCACCGCTGTCAAATATATTCCAGTCTGTACATTGAAGCATCTCTCTTAGGTTAAATATGTTACTAAGTGAATAGTTCCTATGTACAATCATCTCATATGTGAAGGCTGCTTTTGTAGTTTGTCATATATTTTGGGCAAAACGCGTATGATACAATGATCTGAGCTCAGCAGTGGGGACCTCTTTCGAGCTTCGTATGTATCAGTAACACTGACGAATACCAAGTCCAGTGTTGCATCCTGACGCGTTGTGAAGTTAACAATGTTTCGATGACCAAGAGTTTTGAGAAATCTTCGGTTATAGAAGAAAAACACACGTGAAGATAAATCACATTTGTAACATTTCCTAATGCGCAACTATCAATAGAACAGGAATCATGAGAACTAAGCAGTTTAAACAAGTCATGTTCATGTCTAAAACTAAAGTTCATGGTCTGACATTTTGAAGAATTAAGCATAAGACCATTCTTGGAGGACTGTCGTCTGACAGTGGATAAGAAGTTATTCAGTTGGGTGCGATCTGCTGTAGAGGATATACGTATGGAAACTGTTAGGTCATCAGCGTATTTAACGAAATTGATACCAGCTGAAGATGGTAGGTCATGCAGAAAGAGTGCGAAAAGACTTGGGGAAAGGATAGCTCCTTGGGGAACTCCATTCACAGTTAGCAATGAGGTGTAGCCCTTCCCTCTGTGAACAGTATGTTGGTTCCTACCAGAGAAACAGAAATGCAGCCAGTTAACTACCAAGGACTCAGTATTTGTCCTGGTTGGCTTGTCCAGCAAAAGAGATCTTAGGACAGAGTCAAATGCCGAAGTATAGTCTAAAAAGGCACACATGACATACTTGGCATTTTTATCAAGACTATAAGTAATATCGTGATATAAGAGAGTGGTAGCATCCAAAGTACTTCTTCCGCTTTTTTATGCAGATTGATTGGGGTCTCCAGAAGCCTCCAGTGAGGGCTTGAGTGCAGGTGTTATAAGCTTCTCGATTATTTTGGAGAACGCAGATGTAACTGCAATCGGACGATATTTTGTATATGCACCTGGAATCCTGGACTTAAGTACGGGGACTATCTTAATTTCTTTCCAGGCAGCCGGCATGGTGTTTTCTAAAAACGATCTGTTGAACATGTTTGCTGATGGATGACATAAAATATAAGGACACTTCTTGAATACGAAGCTTGATAGACCATCTAGACTTGAAATGTGAGAAGGGTTCAGGGATTTGATAGATTTGAAAACATCGTTCGCAGTGAACTCTGGACAGCGTTCTTCATTCGACATAGGTGGAGAGAGTGGGATGGGACAGATGGGTTGACGTATAAACGGTTCGTTCAAGGCATAGACACCGAAATGTGCTTCTTTACTGTAGTATTTACCACCGGTGAGGCATTTAAAAAGTTTCCACATGCCGAAGAGACCTTGTACAACAAACGTTTCTGGTTGTAGAGTAGACTCAGACGTTTAATTTCCAACCTAATTAAGACGTTCAATTGACGAGCACCAGCAATATCACTTACCTTATACAGTCTTTCTTTTTCTCTCCCTAGTCTCTTAAGCTGTGTAGAAGATGTACGATCGAAGCGTAGGAAAGCCTATTCACTACGTCAACATATTTCTAGGCAGAACCTGAAATAGCATGTTGCACCATCATTAGCATCATTCAAATCACCGCTGTCAAATATATTCCAGTCTGTACATTGAAGCATCTCTCTTAGGTTAAATATGTTACTAAGTGAATAGTTCCTATGTACAATCATCTCATATGTGAAGGCTGCTTTTGTAGTTTGTCATATATTTTGGGCAAAACGCGTATGATACAATGATCTGAGCTCAGCAGTGGGGACCTCTTTCGAGCTTCGTATGTATCAGTAACACTGACGAATACCAAGTCCAGTGTTGCATCCTGACGCGTTGTGAAGTTAACAATGTTTCGATGACCAAGAGTTTTGAGAAATCTTCGGTTATAGAAGAAAAACACACGTGAAGATAAATCACATTTGTAACATTTCCTAATGCGCAACTATCAATAGAACAGGAATCATGAGAACTAAGCAGTTTAAACAAGTCATGTTCATGTCTAAAACTAAAGTTCATGGTCTGACATTTTGAAGAATTATGCATAAGACCATTCTCTTTGAGGACGACCGTCTTAGAGGAGAAAGGAACTGTTTAAATATATCCGCTGAATTTATGAGGGAATGCTGCACGTTTTAAGGATCCTTCTAACTCACCGGTTATCTAGTTAATTAGAAAAGAGAAAAAAATATCACGTTATGTCTATGTGGGCTTTTCTATCGCTCAGATACTATACTTGAGTTGTAGATTCTTGCACTGGGTGAATGAACCACCACACCGGCAAACTCACACCTGCATTCCTGTTGATTCTTCGTTAGGGAGTGAGCGCTAATATAAAACCAGAAGGCTGTTTCATATTATCGCCCTGAATACTGTTATCATTAACATCATTCAGATGCAGTAACCTTTCGTCTGGAAGTATTATTCTGGGGGCGACTTTTTTGAAAAATTACGTGCTGAGAATTCCATACTGTATCATACACATTGTTTGGAATAAAGCGATTATTATTATTATTATCATTATTATTAGCATCACAAATATGTGAACAAATCACTTTATACCGTAAAACACCACACTGAAAAAATTCCCTGTCCACCAAGTAGGTGAACATAACAAGTTATGCATAATTATATACGCATTATTTAACTAATTATAAAATGAAGTTGAGGATGGACTCAAACACTATCCCAAACTTAGGAAATGAGTAAACAGCACGCGAATTTAACCTACAGATTTGAGACAGATGTGTTGTTAGTTGGGTGGAGGTAAACGGCAGGGGCTGTGGACCCTGGATTTCGTACTACTTGGCACTCACCAACAAGATGTATCTGCAATCTCTACGGTACTGATGTCCCAGTCAGAGATTAAAACCTGCGTCACCCAGTGCTGAAGTCAGAGACGTTACCACTGAGCTATTCTGGGTACTTGGTGGCTACACTATAAAATAGTCGATAGAATTCAATCAGGACTAGACGACATGAGATTGGTTACTAGCCAGTGACCAACCACTGTATAGATGTGTGTTATCTGTTGATAATGAACTAGTATGTAAAGTGCAAAAAGGTGTTCAACTTTCGCAAACAATACACGCCCATATGAATGGTACATTTAGTAGAATAATGCAAGTGCCATTGTTTTGTTTTGTAAAAAAAAGATAGTCTTTAGGGAAGATTATAACTGGATTTTCTTTTGAGAACATAATGTTGATTATCGATAATATTTCGCTTTATTTTGATAATGGATGCGTCACAGAATAGCCTTGAAGTATCAGACTAACAAAGAGGATGAATGTCTTCATATTGGATAATATGGCAGATGGCAAGTTTATTGCAACAGTGATTCAATAGAGCATAGTTCATTCTTTGTGAGAAGTTAGATTGTTGGCATCTCACTAAAAAACAACATCTACATTTACTGACTTCATCCAATTAATTCTAATACAGTAATACTAGTGATGTTAAGGCAACTTTACAAAAGCGAACATCTGACACATATAGAGTGTGAAGTCATTTGGAAGAAGGTTACATAATGAATATGGTAGAGTGTAGCATCAATGACGGTTGTACCTCAGTTTACTTACCCAAATATTTGAAAAGGGATAAGAAAACTCCGAAAATGTGATTGATACAACTACAAGAAAACTAATACGACTGCTATGTAAATACGTTTAACCAAGAATTACGATTTACATCAAAGAGTAATGTCTCCAGATATAATTTCATAAGTCTGTTTGCTCGTTCCTATACTTAATCATGAAGAAGTAATGAAAAAAGCACTGAAAAACTAATTTAAAATATCAATTACTGTTCAACAAAGATAACATTACATCCAGATGCAAAGATGGGTCCGTACAAAAAAACTTGTTTGACTGATGAAATTAAACAAACTCCTGATTACATCAACTAAAGAATAGATGTGGATATTGATACTAAAATCTTCCCGTCCAATAATTCATAATGTAGTAGGCGTTGCTGATCAGAATGGATATAAGTAGTATGTGTTGAGAGGGCGGCAGAAATCATAGGGAATCACCAGCAATGGGTGAAGATTCTGCTCAGAGAAACGCAAGAGACAAGAGAGTAAATCAAGATAGGAGCAAAAGAGGAAATGAAGCACATTGTGCAAATGACTGTCTTACTGAAAAGTGTACAATATTTGATGACTACTGTACAAGATGTCAAAAACAAACAATCCTTTTTTCGTCTCAATCTTCTCGTTTCCTAGAATAACACCATTTGTCTAGGCTTTCAAAACCATGACACAAAACTCGGGGATAAAATGAATATCAGTTGTTACAATTAAGGTAAAAACAATACAGCCTTATTTAATGATAAATTAACTACTTACTTTTCGAGAGACACCGTTGAAATTCAAACGAATCATATATTTTCCGCATGGATTATAAACAGCTTCGCCATTTTTACCTTGAGGATATATTACACTGTAAAAGATAGTCAAAAATAAAAAGCCAATTATTATTGGTATAATATTGCATAATATAATGTTAAGGAAATGTTTCAAGCATAAAAGTTATGTTTTCTAAAATATAAGATGATTTACAGATTGCACGGTCCACACTGACATTTACACAGTTGAGTAGTTTTTAAACCCCCGATCGTGGTATCAATAGGGTTCCCGTTGGAGACCACTTAGCCAAGATTAAAACATGTGATCTCTGACACAAGTGTCATGAACTAGCAAAATATACTATTACTGAACAACTTAAGTAGTCAGAAACCACTTGGGCTCTATGAGCTGGATATGTTTAGGTACACTGCTGATGAGCTCAGTCCCAAAATAATGAAACAACCGTCCAGTGTTTCGATCACTCTTATCTGGCTGGTGAAATCTACAGATCAGCTTCAGTGGCCTCTAACTACTCAATTTGTTCAATGGTAGTATATGTTTCAAAACAGGTCAGATGAATGTTGTCCATTTGGAGTCGTTTTCTAGATGTTAGCATAAACGTCCTACCTTCCAAAAATCTTCTCTGATGGTGAAATAAAACTATGTCTAGGTAAAATTAGCACACGCTTCGAGCAAAGTTAACTGTGCTTTTTACCTACTTTTCTTGATGAAACTAGTCCCATTTAAATCTAATTGTTTTAAAAAAATTCTCACTAGTCCTGGGTATTTCTAATCTCGTTTTACAGGAGATAAGTTGCAGTTCGAAAAGTTCAGTGACAGCATCTCTGACTGAAGGATTGGGTGAGGCGAGTTCAAATTTCTGAGGGAAAATCAGTTTAAGATACACTTTTCTGATGGGTACTAACAAGTACGAAACTTGTTCAGGGTTTTCTATCGATTGCCTCTAACCACCTTACATAAACCAATGAATTTTTCCGTATAATGGATGATTATGAAGCTATTTTTGCTCGAAACAAAACCAAAGACCTTTCAATCATTTGTTATTAAATGGGAATCAAAACTCAAATCACATTACATCTGTTTTGTGCTGTTTAGACTTACGAGTTGATCAACCTGAATAGACTGTAGTGTACCTAAATGATAAATTATCTTTTTTTTCGCATGATGCAGTGCGCTAAACTTGGAAACTTAACTTCCAATTCTGATAAATCGGGGATTTTCATTTAGAAAATTAACAGACTAAATGCAATTCAGGATTGGTAGGCTATAACACAAACCTAAGAACATGTGACCGAATGACCATTTTTATTTCATCTTGATTACTGACTTTGTTAACATTAATGAAAATAAGAACAGTAGAATTATGAGTTTCACTAGTCTGTGGAAACATTACTTCATGAAGTCTGTTTGACTGTCGGTCTGAGCGGTGTAAGGAAATGTAAACTACCAGGTTGGAGTTTGTACGACAACCAAAATCGATAGTTGGAGATTCTTAGTGTTATCGTTTAGAGTCCTTTTCAACTCGATCATCTGACCAATCTTCGGTTACTTGCTTTATTCCGATTTCTGCCACTTTTGATTAAATTTTTTCCACCCCTATTTTTTTCATCTTTCATCTTGTTCCTGTGTACTTTGATGTACTTATGTAAGGTGTTGCAGTATTACCAGATCCGGTACTGACTAACTGACAGAAAATCTCTCAACGACACGTACTTTAACCCGGCACTACCTGATGATGAATCTTTCAAGCGACAAAAAATTTACTACCCACTCCAGTTTCAAATACATACCACGTAAGATTCAGCGTAATCAAATTTCCAAGAATACCACTTATCCCCACATCTTATTACAGTTATTCATGATGCATTTTAACCAAAAAGAGGATACAAACTAGAAATAAAGTCATATGAGATCAAAAAAGGGTGGGTCGATCGATGATGAAAGAACAGTATATATTATATTCGAAAAAAACTTATTTTTTAAATGTAATTTCCTTCCTTTGTGGGTAAAGAAAAGTCAATCTAGTAGTGAAAGAATGGAAAAAGTCGTCACAGAAGACAAGAAGTCTTAAATTCACTGACTGTTTGGCGACTGTTCTTCTTGTTCAGTTGTACTACACAGATTATATCTACTGACATTAATTTCGGTTTCTTTAATAATACTGCATATAATTAGCAGGCACTGGTTAGACTGGCTATCACTCCGTCAGGGTTGTTTTAATATAAGTCATAGTCTAAGCGCTAATAATCCATAATTTATGTTTTGTCTGCAAATACCACTTGGTCACGCTATATTGTATAAGTTTTCAGTCTACCAGTCGACTATCAATCATCATCAATATACTACTACTTTATAAGAAAATTTACAGTCAGTGTTCACTTTCCACACAGGAATTGTAGCATACTGGGATAAAGCAGCATCAGAATTTTTTTAAAACAAGGTTCAGTGAACTCATAACTCACATTAGAACTTCTGGAGCTGCAGCTTAGTGGTTTAGGGCGATAGTTACTAACCAGTGGGTGGCGGGTTCGAACCCTGCTCCACTTACCGAAGTTTAGGCAGTCCTCACATAATACGTGTGGCTTATTGCCTACTGTACGATGTGCACAAGGTGGCTGAGTGCGTTCCGTTTCGTAGAACTTCCCAACTGAATACTCCACATATCTGTTTATGTATTCCATGATACATTCATGGATACTTACAAACATATCACAGGCTAAGATGACAAATGAGGCTTGAAAATATAGCAGGGAAAGATAGATTGAATATGAGGAGCCATTGACCAATGCCATGGTATGCAGTATGTTGCCATGTAAGCTTTATGTAGAGTAACAGACGTTAACGGTCATTATCCTGTTCAAATACTGTGTGAAATGAGTAATTTTGAGCTTGATTTCTGTCAATATCTTCACTTATCATGATATTTTTAATCTAGAGTGCCATATTAAGTTTATATGGCAACACGCCGGATGCCAGTAGTACAATTAGACAATCATGTACAAGGTCATGTACTGGGCGATCAGCCAAGATCTTCACAGATGGGGTGGGGTTCGAAACCCTGACTTACTAGTCTAAACTTGAATGCCTAATCATATGAACCACAGTATTTGTGGTAAACAAAATCCACACAAAACTGTAGACTAAAAGAAAACTAGAGGTGATCGTGATAATGATGATCACGATGATGGTATAGCTAATTAACACTACTTAGTCGATGAGTTGTATCTATGTGACAGCAAAAAGTGAAGAGTCAGAATTCTTGAAACAGACCAATTCTTCTCAATAATGAAACTGACCCATAGAAAGAATTTCAAGATACCTAAAGTAGCGTGGAAAATAAAGTAGAGAATAAGCTGGAGCTTGTTGTGTTATCCAAAACGGATAAATTTACGAAACAAAACGTACAAATCTTAAGGTACCATTTATCATGGACCGATATCAGTTGGAGAACCGTTGAGTCCTATACTAGGACGAAACACTTATCCAGTGCTCCCAGATTTTCATCGGTTCTCTAACTGATGACAGTCAGTGATGAATACCACTTCAGAAATTAAAATCCTCATTAACATCAGAATACATTACTGTATAGTGCTCATTAATGATATGCTTCAAGGTGGATATCACGAAGTTCTAATAAGAAGCCGTCACCCGTTGGGGTCAACCAGTCGGAAGTGAAGCAGATGCCTAGTTAAGACCATGCATGATGGTTGAGTTATATCGCGAGTTGGCAGAAGTTGGAAACTGTGAACCAATTAACTCTGGCCCAGTTGCTGAGTGGTGAATACGTCCACCATGAAACCTTAAGGCTCTGAGTTCGATCCCGGGCGGGGTAGTTGGTGTGTACTACTGAAGAGTGTCATACTAGGACAAAACACCTGCCCAGTGCTTCCAAGTTCTCAATGGTCATCCAACTGATGTCAGACCGTGATTAATACTACCTTAAAATTAAAACTAAAACCCTCATTAACCTCAAAATATAAATCTTACTTTGTGATAAGCTTTTTCTTGAAACGTCTTTCATATTGAGCAGCTATAGCTATCGATGCAACAAATGAACAGTCAGTAACAACAGTTTGGCATATTGAAAAACATGATATCGCCAAAATCATCTTTGGTTGGTCAATGTATTCAGAAGGACGTACCCAACGGCTTAGCAAAGATGTCTGCTTGCTAGATAATGCTAACAGTCCATCTTTATCACTTGACAAATTTGTTGTTTAAAATCAATAGGGAAAACAAAGACTTCGTTTGAATGGAAAGTTATTGATGGTTAATAAAATCTACTTGTCAAAGTAACAGTATACAATTATGGTTCATGAAACAAACACAAGGGAAAAAATTAAGCAGGTAAATAAATATAAAGCCGTTATAAACGACTTCTTGTAAATGTGAATGCAAAAACATGTACATTTCTTTAGTGTTAATTACTATGGGACACTTTTGTACTCGTCTGGAATCACATCAACCCTTTAAAGTTGAAAATTACTGATTAGAGTAACTAAGGTACTGGCTAGAGCACATGTATCCACTGAGATAGTTGCGACACGTGTTACGTATGCCTAGTCACCGACTACCTCGTCACACAATGTTGGCTGAAGTAGGTTCAGGCTGGAAAAAGGCCTGAGGCGGCCAGACTAAAACATGGCATCAATATATCAAGTCTCTGACTGTCGGTTTGAGCCATGTGAGGCGATGCAGACTATTAGGTGGTTGGGGTCCGTGGGACAAGAGGAACCAATGGCTGGAGACTCTAGGTGATATGGCTCAGAACCGATGTCAGTGGCGCAGATGTATACATACATTATTATCATTTTAACGCTACATTGAATCTCACCATTTTCTCATTCTTCATTTCTCTCTTTTAGTACTTTATCTTTCTTTTGACTGAATTGTCTTATCTTTATCTTGCGCCTCACTGACTTTTTACTTGATGTACTGATATGAAGTGTGGCAACTTGGACCATTATGCTACGTTGCGTTACGTAATGCCTGGTCTTATGTCGATTTGGATGGATGGAGAGCACAGGTGAAGCAGTTTGACTAATATCGTGTCTAAGACGTTAATTCCCATAGTCACCTAAAATCTAACTGGATCCTAAGAACACCAAACTAGAAAAACCAGACACGTTTTAAACCTAGATAAGATTGCAACTATTGAGTTGCTACCATTTGAAAGTGCAGGTGTGGCACCTGATACCTGTCATATTTATTGACCCGAAGGTGAAATTTGACTCCATTGAGTCAGAGGTGTAGCGATAGTATCGAATTGTGAAGGAAGTACCAAGTAAGCCCATTGTGCTACTCAAAGCTCTCAGCTCAAACACTTATAGTCATGTAAAAGGTTATTGAAAGTTGTCATCAAAAAGGATGACAGCTGGTTGTGTCAGTTAAGGATACCTACTATCACCATTCTTACCGAACTTTGACATAGATGAGTAGGTAGATATAAATATACATACCTCCGACTTCTGAATGGCTGTATCCCTAACCAGAGGACACATACTTGACTTAGAATACACAAGCAACAAAATTCTATTAGGCAGAGGTGCTGACAAAATGCAGAATTTTAAGTATCTCAAGTAAAACCTTCTATTACTTACGTCTTGGCATGTCTTCTGAATCCCTCAAATGTAAGACGATGCTTCAGAACTAGTCTGAAGCAGTTCCTAGATTAAGGGTGGAGAGTTATATAGTCTTATTAGTCGATCACCTCATCTAACTAACAGATCACGTCAGTACTAATTGATTTGCCAACGAAGAATTTTAACTTGTATGCGAAGGTGGGCTTGACATTTTCCACCTCACACCACTTTTAGCACCAACAGGATAATCCGACTGAAAATCATACATGAAGTTTGCTGTTCAGTAGTTCAATGTGTTGGCTTGTATGGCCGGAACAGTCATACCAACCTGAGTGAGCACTGCCAAAGTTAGGCGTTGAGTACTAAGCAAGGAACATAAGTTAGTCCATGAAATTTTGAACCTCCATCGACGGATACGGTTTGAATATATGTTGAACATGCCGAGTTCCCACATATCCAGATGTGAGACATTAGGCGAAGCAAGGTTCAGTAGAAAGGAAAACTAAGGTGGCCAGATCAACACTTGGCTTGAGACTTTTGGTCTAAGCCATGTTAAGGGAGATGTGGATTGCCTAGCTACGGTCTTCCGGACAACAGGAACCAATAATGATGGAAAACAACAACGGTGGGCACAATGAAGGATTGTTTATTTGGCGAATTACATGCAGTACTGATGAAATATTACAATCTCATGATGAATATCCCTTCTGCAAAGGTTATTCGTGTTCTTCTTCTAGCGACGTACCCCATCGACTCCTTCCATTTCATCTTCTTGTTGTTAACTAATTAGCTCTGTTCCTCCCAGCAGAACATTTTGCCGTTAGGTTGTCGTAGGTTCTTATGACTTTTATCGAAGACAATACACCATGTATCATTTAAACGCTCCCTTATCAGTTCCACAGACGACAGAAGTCAACATCAGTTCAGTTTGACTTTGTCTAATAGGGCTATTAGTTCCATTTTTCATGCAATATTCGTTGATAAGTACTAACCAAAGGTAGTAAATAATGCTTTCTTTGAAATATTCTGCATACTACTTAGTACGTTGTGGCATGATATCTTTTATTTATGCACTCATTAACCTTGTGCACGTCTGTGCACTAGGCAATGAGCCGCACCTAATGTGCGAGGGTCAATGATACTACCTGGCTGCCCAAACCTCGATAAGTGGAGCGGGGCTCGAGTCCGTGACCCACTAGTAGAAAGTCATCTCCCTAAATCAGTGAACCAGAGCTCTACGGTATGATATCTAAAATCTGCACAATCAAGAGGTAAAAGCATTTCTAAGAACATCCTGATTAGTGAGTGATATCATTAATTTGAACTGCTGTAAACAATATCTCTGATGATAATGATATTACATCTACAGGGTATATTATAAACTCACAAAGCTAAGTGTAAATCTAACCAATGAACTGAGAAGTGATATCAGATACAAAACTAGTAACAGAAGTCAGTTTCTTGCGTAATTGGGCCACTTCCTCAGATATGTACTGGGAGCCAGTACCTGCTAGTGATGACAGAATACGCAACCTGTCAGGTGGATGCCGTTGGAATTCTACACAAACGCGTAGAGACAGTGATGCAAGAGGTTGATAGGATGTTGGAAACCATGAAGTACCGAAGATATTGACGGATTACCGTTTAAGAGTCGAGAGTTCACATCACATGATATTTTGCTTTATTAAAGCTACTAAGAATTTTTTAAAATTATACGACTGATGTTATTTTTAACAATTTATAATGGTGTGTCATTGTACAGTACAAAACTTTATGTTGCTATCTATTCTACATTTTTCGTTAAATATTTAAACCAAGTATACACTTGAGCCGTATAGAAAATTAGCAACACTTTAAGTAATAATCATAAAAGCTAAACATTTAGCTTACACAAAAGGACTAGCGAATGAAAATCGTTCTCGTAGATCAATTGAATCAAGAAACGGTAGATACTCACGACCATTAATTATCGATGTGGCCTTTAGAACTTTCAACTCTTCAATGGAAAAACCACCAGCACCTATAAGATTAAAATGAATTCAGTATATCAGCTCAGTTCACCTGGATATTTATCAGATTTTATAATTACTCAATCATTTTTCAGAATAAACTACACTAGTGAAGAATATTGTAAACTAGTGGAGCATTTATACTTATATTCAATATGTTTGGAAGTGGGATCTGACTTATCTATTTTGTAATAAAGGAGAACAAGTAGTAACACTTGATCAGTGCACAGTCTTTTTTATCTGCGCCGACACTTACCACTGGGAGATTCGCGCGGTGTCCATATGAACTAATTATTAAACAGAATAGATAAATAGTATGTTATTCAACGAGGATTTTCAGTCAGTGGCAATTTCATGAAACCATTCATAACACCAACAGCTTAAGTAACTTCTTGGTGCCCATACTGTTGACAAATAGCTGTAGACAGATAGTTTGTTCCGTCGCAGTCTACACTAGCCTTTTGAAACTCAGTTTAAGGACCAGTAACACAACACTTTTCCCGATTACCTTTCTAAATAGCTTGTGTACATACCTCATACAGACTTTTTTTCAGTCTCTTGAGATATCATTGCACTTAGTCTTATTACTCCTGAACTTTCTCCAAACTAACTTCAAGCAAAATCTATCATCGCAGAATATGTCGGCTCCACATACATAACATTCCCTAGTTATATTTGCTCTTTTTTGTTCGACACACCACATAGTGATACAGTTTCACTTACTCAATGAAGCTTCAGACATAAATTATTGCTCATAATCATATCACAACTTTCGGTATCTGGTTTTTATAGTTCCTTTTTGTCGTGTATTCAGAAAAGACAGATTTCTCAAGTTCTGTGAAAAGATTGTTGTCTACTATCTATTCAGGTTGCGACTGAAAATTGAGCAGCTGAAGCATGAGAGTAAATCTGTTTACCTATTACTCAAAGTTCTCAGCCAATTGATCTAACCGCTTGCTGTAACAATTTATCACAGGCTCATGTTTCTACGACAGTTTAAATAATTATTGTATTTTTCGCATTAACCTCTCGAAAAGACTGCTGACCGCTACTTAATATTGACACCTTTGCGACCTTTTTCACTTTTACACCGTCATTGGTAAAATTGACCATTTCACATTTAGGTTGTTTTAGATTCCCGTAATACTCAGGAAAGAATATGTCAGTATATCTGTTAGTTCAGGAGGCTGAGAATCACTAGGTTTCGCTGAGCTTTGGTTGTAGATCACAAGTGTGGAGACGGTTTAAAATAGTGTGTAAACCACTTCAACTATAAGCAATATTTCCTTTTCATCGTTTCTGTACATTCTTCCTAATACTTGTAAAAACAAATGTTGTTTATATATACACTTTTTTGGTTGTGGCGGTAATTGCATCTTTTGCTGCTGCTAATCGTGGAAATATAATGTGCTTCTAACTATTCTGACTTCTGCCTCCGTGACTATTTCCTGTCGTGCATAATAACTGATTGTCTTGGGAATTTACAGGACTTCTCATCCTACTTCCAAATATTACGACAATCAAGCCGACCGACGACCACTGCGAAGAGACAACAAATATCGCCTTCTGATCTATGGAGTATCCTAGAATCGTGGTGGACAATACCTAAGAGATAACCTCCAAGTAACTAGTGGTTATCTATAACATTGACAATACTATTTATGCTATAACGTATAACTTTTCATACATGTGTATCATAAAATCCATTTTTCTTGTAAGTTATACGTAGTTTGTCATTTTGGTTTACTTGACATTCTTTGGGTCCAGTACACAAGTACTAATCATCCTAGTTTCCACAGTAAACTGAGATTTAGCTGGATGAAGATAAGAATCTCAAGCATTTCTCGAAAAATACTGTGAAATTTCATGTCTTCATGCTATATTTCAACGGAGTTACTACAACTAACTGGAATTCAAATTTAAATACTCAGAATTCCATACACTGCATGAGGCAATCAACCACATAACAAACACAAGTTTCAGGTCAATTCAGTCCGTGATCAAAATTTGATTTATTACCAAAAGAAATGGCGTGAGTTAAGATAGCATAAACCGAGAAGACCTACCTCGTTTAGGAAAAGGTGGAACAGGTGGTTTGGCTTTTCCAGTACCATAAGGTTTCTTTGGTGCTCCCATCATTTGTGAAGCCGAAGTACAAGTAGGATGAGATTCGGAATAGGAAGGCTGTGTTTCATGGAGCTGGGCTTTTAATAACTCAGCACTAGAAAGCTGAAGTTGATTAAATAATATCTCAATACCGATTTAACCCCTCTTTAGCGAACTTATTTATCTGCTCAAGTAAAAAACTATCACTGATGTCTCGTTTCTATAAATGATCAACTCATTAATATGGGTTTTACTAAAGATAACAGCAACTCCACAGCCAAAGTATAAAGCTCGATTGCCTCAGAAACATTGCCTTTCTCATCTTCTGACACAGCATCGTTCAGTAGACAACGAGCTCTTGCTAAATCAACCTAAAACAAGAGTTGATGTAAAATATGATCAAACCTTGCTTTTGTTAATGTTGGTGTTTGGTACGGACACATTCTGCATGGCAATTCTCAATTTGAGCTCCTTCACTTTTTCGCTATACTTCTGAGCCAACTGAAGTAAGCCCTCAGTTGTGGAACCAGCCTCCAAAGAATTCAAAAGAGCTTGGGCGGCTTCCTAGAAATGATAACGAAATTATTGGGAAACTACAGTGTAATAAAAGGCAGCTGATCCATAATGTCCCTCAGATTCCTGTTCCACTGCAAGTCTCTTAAACAACTCCGCATCTTTCTCCAGCTCAACGGAGTTGGCCATTCATAAATAAGATGAACACCACGGAGATGTTTTCCAAAGGATGTTGATCGGTAACGAATAACGATAACTGCAGGTCAACAACTGGACATAACCATGAAGCAATGACCTAAAGACAAAACGATAAATGGAAAGCGCGGTTAGATAAATGAGAGACAAAAGCATGAAGAACAGTAATTGTAGTACTATTTGTCCACTGGGTTCTTAGTGGAACAAAGAGTTTCAGCAGCACGTCTCCAGTGAACTCTCTTCTCTGAAATCTTTTGAACCTGGCTCCATGACAGCCCACAAGCTCTTATTTCTTCCTCCAAAGATCTTCTCCATGTCACCCTCACCTCCGACGCCCAACTTGTCGTTTCCCATATTGGTTCCACTAGAGGAGCCTGACGCGTGACGTCCCCACTCGACATTCTCAGTGTATGCCCAATCCATCTCCACTTCCTTCTGCATATTTGTTACGTGATAGGTTCTTGGTTGGTTCGTTCCCAGAGCTCCTTGTTGCTTATTCTTTCTGGCCATCTGATCTACAGTAACGAGACAGCGTGGGCAGTTGTTGATGAATGTCTGTAGTTTGTTGGAAATCCCTTTCGTAATGCGCCAAGTCTCTGAACCATACAGAAGCACTGACTTGACTGGATTGGTGTTGAAAATCCGGATCTTGTTCCACATGCTGAGTGCAGTGCAGAAGATCTCCACACTGGTTTCAGGTTGATGAACGCCTGTCTTGCTGTCTTTGCGATCGTGGCTGACTTTGACATCCTCGTCTGTGCCACCTGCTTCCTAGATAGGTGAAGGAGGCTACTTCGTTTAAGTTTCTCGCGTTGATGGTGATTGGAGCTTGTTGATGTTGGTGGTGGTGTTGATTGAGTATCTCCATCACCTCTGTATTCTCTATATTCACGTGAAGTCCCGTCTTCGCTGCCCTGCCTCTTCTGTCAACTTGTTAGTTTTCGCCTGTAGATCTTCAAGTTTGTGTGACATCAGACACAAGTCGTAGGTGAAATCCAAGTACTCTAGGATCTTTTCCGCGGTCCAGCCAGCGCAACTCCCTCTTCTCGCTCCTAACAGTTTGCTGCATGATCCAGTCGACCACAATCAGGAATATCATGGGTGATAGTAGGTAGCAGCCTTGTTTTACTCCTGTCTTCACTTCAAAGGCATCACTGAGCTTCCCATTGTGAATCACTTGAAATTTAACATCATATAGCATTTAGTTGTTGAATGAGGTTCATAAAAGTTTTTGGCACTAAAACTGTAGTGTTGAGGCAGCTGCCTACCAAATTACTTCTCGATCGATGCTATCAAAGGCCTTTTCAAAGTCGATGAAGTTGAGGTAAAGGGTTGACTGCCATTCTATACTCCGTTCTATGATGATGCGTAGCCCTGTAATTTTATGTGCATATGATTTGTACCACCTTATTCAAGCTTATTCCGGTCGTAGTTTTGATCCAGTGCATCCTTTAGTCTCTCCAGGATGATTCGGTTTAATATTTTGCTGGCTTTGGGTGGACAGGAGCCTGATTCCGCGCTGGTTCTTGCAAAGACTTCGGTTGTCCTTCTTCAGGAGTTTGACAAGGTAGCCCTTCTTCCAATCGCCAGATACCTTCTCTTCCTTCCATACCTTCTGCAACAGTGGTGTGAGGATGTCGGCTGTTGTCCCTGCGTTTGCTCTCAGTGCTTCTGGCGGGATTCTATCTGGTCCTGCTGCCTTCCCGCATTTCAGTAGTCTTATGGCGTTCAGGACTTCAACTTTCGTTGGAGGGCTTGTGTTCACCTGTAGCTCTGTGGCTGCAGGTGGTATTTCTGGACGAAGTACAGGTAGTGGTCGATTCAAAAGCCTTTTGAAGTGGCCAGCACATCGTTTCGTTTGTTGCTCTTCTTTGGTAATTGGACTTCCTCCATCATCTTTTATTGCTTTTATCTGCGTTGATCTGTTCCCGTAGTAACCTGCCATTTGATACAGTGTTGTCAAGTCTCTCCTACCAGTAACCTGTTCTGCTTCACTTGCCAGTGTGCTGTGGAAGTGTCCTTCGTCTTTTCGGACACTCTTCTTCACTTATTTGTCCAATGTTTTATACATTGTACTCAGTTCCTCTCCTCGTCGTTCATCCTTGCACTAGTTTATCTTCTGCTTCACCATCCTCCTCTCCTCTATCAGCTTCCATGTGTCCATCGAGAATCATTCCTTATCTTCCTTCCTAATACGGTTATGAAGGTTTCTTTCCACATCTCTTTCAATGACTTCCAGTGTTCATCCACACAGGTTTCTTCAGGGATGTTCCTCGATATCTCCTAGTTTGTCTTGATGGCTGACATGAAGATTTCCTTTGTAGTTCCATCCTTCAGTTTGTGTTCTGGGTGTTGAACTTGAACTGTGGTCTATCACCAGCTTCCTTGAAGGCTTTCAACTTGATTTTGAGGGTAGGTTCCTCGCACTAGATAGTGAGTTGTCTGAATCTACATCTGCTCCTCTTCTTGACCTTGTGTCAAGTAGGCTGCGTCTCCATTTTCTCCAGATTGAGATCTGATTTTTGGTGTGTCCTGGTGTTTGGTGAAATGCATATCGCTTTGTGGATATCCTTGTGCTTGAACACAGTGCCTCCAATCACCAAATCGTTGGATGCGCAGAATTCTGTTCTCTTCCTGTGTTGTTTGCTCCCAGTTTGGCACTCATGTAACTCCACCCATTAGAATTTTCATGCCACTAACTGAGGTCTTGTCCAGTCCTGATTGCAGTTGTCTGTAGAATTCCTCCTCCTTCTCTTGCTCTGCATTATTTGTAGGTGCATAGCGTAGCTCTGTATGATTGTGACCTTCATTCCTTCCTTTTGAGTTGAACTTTGTTGTCATGATCCTGTATGAGGAGGTTGGTTCCCACTGCATGAGACCCTTCGACACTCTTCGGGACATCATGATAGCCACTCCAAAACTCAATGTGCACGTGGTTGTCGTCTGGGTGACAATATCGGAGTAGACTATTGACTCTCCAGTTGACAGTTTGGAGAGTCCACTCCCATTCCATCTACTTTCGCAAATTCCAAGCACTTCTATGCCATGCCTTCTCATCTCTTTTGCAATCTGGGCTGCCCTGCTGGGTTCAAACATCGTGCGGACATTCCATGTCCCCACGTTTACTTTCGCTTTCATCGAGAGAAGACATATCGGCCAATTGGCTTCCTGAATACTTTCATCAACCAACGTCATTTCGACTCCCCGATTCCGGCGAGGAATAAGTTTGTTTTTATGTTTTACATTTTCTTCATGCTTTAAAGTTTCTTTGGCGGTTGGATTGGTTTTGCGGGATAGGGTTGCTAGCCCTATGCCTAACCTTGCCTCTTTATCCGGGCTTAGGACCGACTAGTAACTAGTGAACTATTTAACCAGGCGGGATTGGTGTCCCAAAATGCTGCCAACTTTTTAAAACCGTGCGTGAATTTATGATGCGATCATAGGACGTAATAGAACGAGTTAAACGAGACAATCCGTTGATAATTTGTTGCAACACTTTTTAAGAACGCGGCTTGGATCCTAAACCTCAGAATTATTCCTTATGGTACTTAAGACCTGTGTCACACCACACCTTGAGATGTTCAGCACGATAGCCCCTACACCAGTAAAGACAGACGCAAATACCCTCGAGAAGGTACAGATAAGAACAGCAGGATCGGTTGTCGGACTAACATGCAAAACATACGCTCAATGCCTCAGGCAACCTGACTTGTTAACACCAAGCTATCGAGGAAACGAGGTGACCTGATAACGGCTTACAAGATCATTCACCAAGTGGATCACCCAAACCGGTCAACGTTATCGGTCCAAAATCAACAGTGCCTTGGAAACCCCACTTGCATGCCCCACCATATATCAAAGACAAGCGTGAGATCTTACTTCTTCTCTCACAGAGCATATGCCCTATGGAAAGCTTGGCCGAAGAAAGTATCCACAGTCACATCAGTAGACTCCTTCAAAAGACTAGTGGATAAGTGCTGGAAAGAAAATAGCCTACCACGGACATTTGTCAGTAGCGTCTGACAATATGCTCTTATATCCCGGCACTCCCGACCCCAGTATCTGCAATAAGACGAATCTCCCTCCTTATTATAACCACCTACACTTATCCTTTCATGAGTACTTTTCACTCCTCTTTTTCACATTCTTCACTCGCCCTGTTTCTCGCTCTTTTTGAGTAATGCTTATTACTTACTTCCAGGCACTTGCAGAAATGGGGAATGCAGACGGCAAACTGATCTTATCAGCAGCTCCGTTGAAGCTCGCAAAACATACCAGGCTGCAATTTGCAGGCAAAATACCTTCAAATAGACAATCACTACCTCCAAGGCTATGGGCAGGAAAAACACGAAGGCCCCTGTGAACATCAAGGGGGTACTACCAAACAAAATAACCGAGCTACAAGTACTGGAGCTCAGAAACTATAAGTTTCCTCTACTCGCACTATTGATATTGGGTGTTGGATGATGGAAGAGGAAATGAATATCTGGCCTACGGCAAAACTTGAACAGGCAACCTCAAAGTAATCGGCCTGCTGCTCCGCCAACAAGCTGCGAAACCCAGGCAGTTCGAACATTGTCCAGTCAGCAGTAGAAAGGACACTGCGAAAGTAATTGTTGCGTTGTGAATACTTCCACGGAAATAAAATAGTTCCATCAAACTTGGCCACTGTATATAAGAAGGAGCCGACATCTCGTAACCCACAACTCGTTCTATAGTCTTACATACTCCTTCCATTCCCCCTGAGTCTATAACCTCACACAGTCCGGTAAGTTTCGCCCCGTCACTTATCTCCCAGGACCCAACCTAAGTGTCTCCTTCCCTACCGTTCCGCCTCCCTCCACGTAGCCCTTTGCCTTTCCTTCTTCCCACTTCCTCTCCATGGATTTTGCTGGACGTCTTCTCTATATCCTTTCTACAACCAGCCTGGTCAGCCGTCTGGTGATATGACACTTGAGGAACCCCTGTGCACCACGCTTCTTGTAAAAATCATTCAACCTCTGAAAATTTAAACAACACCTGATTGCCCGTTAGGATAACCTTCTTATAACATTATTATAAACGCGCGCGCTCGTTGAATACAATCAATAATCAATTACTTGTGCCCCTTCTGGTTTCTCGTAGTCAGGGAGGCAACTGGGACCATCATAAACCAAAAATGTGTTCCAATAAGACGGACGTGAATCACATGGAAATACCATTTTACTAATTCTACGACAAACTGTTTGAAACTTGAAAGCAGGGTAACAGAAGGATTCTTACACACGACAGAAGTGAAAAAGAACGATAAGAACCAGATGGTGAAAGACCAAACCTTCAAGTTTCATCTATTCGCACCAATCGTGTTGGTGCGCTCTTCTAATACTGACGTGTTTTGCCTCGTCTGCATTCCACTCGGAAATAACCATATATAAGCCTCCCCAATCGGATACTTGCTCTACGAAAGTTACAGTGTCACTGGAAAAGCGTTTTGCTGCAGAACGTACAGCTCTCAGTCGTACCTTGTTCATATGCAGTTTAGAGGCAATGCGTCGTGCTTTGTTCGTATCCAATCTAGAGGCAACACCACGATATTTATCACCGAAAAACAGTTGGCAACCATATCGTAACAGTAAACGCGATTCAGTTAATCAACTGAACGCAAGAATTGCTACTTACAACGACACAACTACCTTCTCAACTGGGAAGTACTTCCTGCTGGTGATTCGTAGTCGTCTGGACCGCTCAAATGCTATAGCTTTTGGTTCCCTTCGGAGATCATTCACCAGGAAATATCTTTCTTGGTCTTTACATGCGCATTTAGAGTATTGGGTCAAAGTTGCTGATAGAGAGAAACCGAGTACAAGTTCCTCTTGGTAAGCTATCTATTTTACGAATCGTTCTCCTCCTAATTTACATTAATTGTATGGTTCAAAGTACCAGATTGCAGGCTTTTAACCGTATAACGAGGCCTGCAGGTGGACGGAATCCAATCTGTGCTAAAAAGATGGGCTCAGCAGCACAATCACCGTCTAAGATCCCCATGGCAGTGCCACGTCAGGAGCAGCATTTATTGAAGCCGGCAAACTCCTGTAGCAGCACATCTGCAGTCATACCGTTAGTGGAGAATAATGCATGGGTTAAACGCGCCACGATTGACATCACCATACAGAAAGTAAACCACTCCGTCATCAACAAAAAGCAAACCTGTGATGACCGTGGTGTTTGCAAACAATCGATGTTGTCAGAAAGCCTTTGCGTGCAACATCTGTCTCAGATGGCTACACTGTGGCTGTGATGATGGTTTACCAGGGCAGTCTCACAGCTTTATGAGGAAGTCCCCATGTAAATGGATGTGGTGTACACGCCCAGAATGCCGGAAATCACCGGCCATCACCACTGGCAAACTGGAAAAACCTGGTTCAGTCAAAAACTTTATAAAGAACGAACTCCAACAATCCTCCCCCAGAACGCGTCTAGCTCCACATGTGTGCGAAAATGCCACAGCTGAAGGCAGAGAAAAATTGGCTCCCACCCCAGGTGAGAAACCAGAAAGGTGCTCGCTTTTATGACCGTCACCCAGACAATCCAAAGGGGCTGAAAAACCTGAGGAAACAGGTGGCTCTGAAAATGATTGGACGGAGGTGAATAGAGTGACAGGTTGATAGAAAGCAACTCCAGACAAGCCGCTGCCACTCAGGGTGTTTGCAATGGCGGCGAAACAGTCGGGGAACACACTGCTACTGTCGCACCGACCGGACATTGCAGACTCCTGTCCCATACGCAGCATTCTCCTCCTCATTTACACCAATTATATGGTTCGAAGCACTAGATTACAGGCTTTTAACCGCAAAACAAGGCCTGCAGGCATCATCATCATCATCATCATCATCATCATCATCATCATCATCATCATCATCATCATCATCATCATCATCATCATCATCATCATCATCATCATCATCATCATCATCATCATCATCATCATCATCATCATCATCATCATCATCATCATCATCATCATCATCATCATCATCATCATCATCATCATCATCATCATCATCATCATCATCATCATCATCATCATCATCATCATCATCATCATCATCATCATCATCATCATCATCATCATCATCATCATCATCATCATCATCATCATCATCATCATCATCATCATCATCATCATCATCATCATCATCATCATCATCATCATCATCATCATCATCATCATCATCATCATCATCATCATCATCATCATCATCATCATCATCATCATCATCATCATCATCATCATCATCATCATCATCATCATCATCATCATCATCATCATCATCATCATCATCATCATCATCATCATCATCATCATCATCATCATCATCATCATCATCATCATCATCATCATCATCATCATCATCATCATCATCATCATCATCATCATCATCATCATCATCATCATCATCATCATCATCATCATCATCATCATCATCATCATCATCATCATCATCATCATCATCATCATCATCATCATCATCATCATCATCATCATCATCATCATCATCATCATCATCATCATCATCATCATCATCATCATCATCATCATCATCATCATCATCATCATCATCATCATCATCATCATCATCATCATCATCATCATCATCATCATCATCATCATCATCATCATCATCATCATCATCATCATCATCATCATCATCATCATCATCATCATCATCATCATCATCATCATCATCATCATCATCATCATCATCATCATCATCATCATCATCATCATCATCATCATCATCATCATCATCATCATCATCATCATCATCATCATCATCATCATCATCATCATCATCATCATCATCATCATCATCATCATCATCATCATCATCATCATCATCATCATCATCATCATCATCATCATCATCATCATCATCATCATCATCATCATCATCATCATCATCATCATCATCATCATCATCATCATCATCATCATCATCATCATCATCATCATCATCATCATCATCATCATCATCATCATCATCATCATCATCATCATCATCATCATCATCATCATCATCATCATCATCATCATCATCATCATCATCATCATCATCATCATCATCATCATCATCATCATCATCATCATCATCATCATCATCATCATCATCATCATCATCATCATCATCATCATCATCATCATCATCATCATCATCATCATCATCATCATCATCATCATCATCATCATCATCATCATCATCATCATCATCATCATCATCATCATCATCATCATCATCATCATCATCATCATCATCATCATCATCATCATCATCATCATCATCATCATCATCATCATCATCATCATCATCATCATCATCATCATCATCATCATCATCATCATCATCATCATCATCATCATCATCATCATCATCATCATCATCATCATCATCATCATCATCATCATCATCATCATCATCATCATCATCATCATCATCATCATCATCATCATCATCATCATCATCATCATCATCATCATCATCATCATCATCATCATCATCATCATCATCATCATCATCATCATCATCATCATCATCATCATCATCATCATCATCATCATCATCATCATCATCATCATCATCATCATCATCATCATCATCATCATCATCATCATCATCATCATCATCATCATCATCATCATCATCATCATCATCATCATCATCATCATCATCATCATCATCATCATCATCATCATCATCATCATCATCATCATCATCATCATCATCATCATCATCATCATCATCATCATCATCATCATCATCATCATCATCATCATCATCATCATCATCATCATCATCATCATCATCATCATCATCATCATCATCATCATCATCATCATCATCACCATCATCATCATCGTCATGATCAACATCAACATCAACATCATCGACATAGGTCCAGGCATTTTTTTGTAAGTGTCCGAGTTGGCATACCTCATATCAGTACATCAAGTAAAAAGGTAGTGAGGCGAAGGATAAAGATAAGTGAATGAATCAAATGAAATATAAAGTACGAGAATAAAGGAAAGAGGAGTGACAAAATGGTGAGATTCGGTATAGCGTTATTAAGATGAGGATAATGTGTGTATACATCTGCGCCATTGACTTCGGTTCTCAGCCATATCGCCTAGGGTCTCCAACCACTGGTTCCTCTTGTCCCACGGACCCCAACCACCTAGTCTGCATCGTCCTACATGGCTTAAATCAACAGTCAGAGACTTCGTAAATTGGTGCCATGTTTTAGTCTGGCTACCTCGGGCTTTTTTCCAGCCTGGACCCACCTCAGTCAACATTGTGTGACGAGGTAATCGGTGACTAGGCATACGTAGTACGTGTCCCAACCATCTCAGTCGATGAAGGTTCACAACATCGGCGACTGACTTACCTCTTCTGCCCAAAACACTACACCTAACTTCTGCATTACTCACATGGTGACACCACGGAATACGTCCTATACTACGAAGGCAACGTTGGTTAAACACGTGAAACCTTTTTGTATCCTCCACTTTCAATGGCCATGTTTCACAGCCATACAGTAGAACAGACCGGACTGCTGTGCAGTACACGCGACCCTAAATAGGCAAACGAATATCACGACGGCGCCGCAGGTGGCGCAAGTTGGCAAAAGCCAATCGAGCCTTTTGTATCCGTGCAGAAATCTGATCGGCAACTAACCCACCAGGGTTGATCCTACTTCCCAGGTAAGTGAAGTGGTCAACACACTCAACCACTTCACTCTCTATTGTTAGCCGCGGTACCGCTGAAGACCAGTCCTGGAGCAAACAATTGCATTTGGGTGGTGAAAATCGCATCCCAAACATTCTCAAATTCCCACTCAAAGTGTTTAGAAGACTCTGCATCTTGTCAGCGTCTTCACCCAACAGGACTATGCTCTTAAGGACATCATGATAGCCACTCCAAAACTCAATGTGCACGTGGTTGTCGTCTGGGTGACAATATCGGAGTAGACTATTGACTCTCCAGTTGACAGTTTGGAGAGTCCACTCCCATTCCATCTACTTTCGCAAATTCCAAGCACTTCTATGCCATGCCTTCTCATCTCTTTTGCAATCTGGGCTGCCCTGCTGGGTTCAAACATCGTGCGGACATTCCATGTCCCCACGTTTACTTTCGCTTTCATCGAGAGAAGACATATCGGCCAATTGGCTTCCTGAATACTTTCATCAACCAACGTCATTTCGACTCCCCGATTCCGGCGAGGAATAAGTTTGTTTTATGTTTTACATTTTCTTCATGCTTTAAAGTTTCTTTGGCGGTTGGATTGGTTTTGCGGGATAGGGTTGCTAGCCCTATGCCTAACCTTGCCTCTTTATCCGGGCTTAGGACCGACTAGTAACTAGTGAACTAATTAACCAGGCGAGGTTACAGTAATTGTAACGTGATTGATATTTTATATATGTTGGATTATGGAAATAATTCATGAGCACCAAAAAAGCAGAGCAAAATGATGCAGTCTGTTTGGTTTCAGTAAACAGAGACAATCATGATCATAAATTTAACTAGAAGAATGTGGAATTATCCAAAGAGTAGGTCCAAAAGCAGCAGGAGAACTTCTAGAAGCATGGTATTCCAATGAAAAGTCAACCAACAGACACATGGATACAGACCGAATCAACAATCTGCTTAACAAGAAAATAGCTATTAGTCAACCAAGTGAAAACTGCCCGAACAAATCAATAATAAAACAGTGCGACAGTAACAAACAGACCACGTACATTCCAACGGAAAGTTTCTATCAGCGTTACGAAATGAAATGTAAGATCAAAAAGTGGTGAAAGTCTATCCGCCAACTTACTGTTGGACAACACCCAACATCACAAAAATACTGCGTGAACATTAGTGTAACACTTGTATATGCTTCACTTCCTTATGCACTTAGTGCTGAGGATGTCACTAAGCCTGGTGGTGTAATATCAGCGAGAAAATACCAAAGTTCAGGGAAATCAAACCATCTAGAGTATATGGAAATATTGCATTATTTCTGCGTCGAACTCTTTCTTTACAAAGTGTAAGTGTCATTCAGGTAATTGGCTTGTAATTCAAGCATGCACTCAAGGTACTCAAATTCCCTGACGGTACTAAGCGAGCACATGACTTAATTAAAGACCACCTTTTTGAAATACACTAGTATTTCAGTTACAAAACCAACCCAGTTAGTAATAACTTCGAACTCATAATAAAAATTAGTATGAAGAAGTTGAATGAGGGCGTTTCCTGCACCTAGAGATATCCACTACCTTCCTCGAAATTATAAAGTGAGCCTAAAACCTATACAGCTTTTAAAAGACATAAGCCACACGATGCAATTAACGGTTAACTATAGTACCAAATTCTTAAGTTAAATCAGACTGTAGTCTTACGTCATATATTCAAAACTAGGTCAAGGTACTCCGGTCAACTACCCAATTTTATCAGGTTTGGAAGAGCGAACAAAGAAATACTTAATGGAAATCGATTCGCCTAGGCCTGGATATATCAGTCATCTGTTTTTACATATTAACGCATTCGGCTGTTAACTTTCAGAATTACGCCTACACTACAAGACCAATTTCTATTCGCAGGCTTACAGATAGTGATAGTGTGTAAAGCTCGAAATGATAAGAAATTCATATTCCGTGTTTATTCTATCTCTAGATCATTTTTTCACTGCCCCACTGCATTCTAAGGATATAAGCGCGAGAGGTAGACAACTTTTAAGAAGAAACATTTTGTCGTAGCGCATCTTTCTACCTCTCCTTAGTTATTCAGGAATAGCTCCATGACTGTATGCATCTGAGATATAGCACTAGTGAATACTGTAGTTGCATATCGATGAACCAAAATACACCCCAGCCGAAGTTATATTTCTACACTTCGGTAGTTTTATTAGATGAAATAAGCAAGCTGGGACTTTAAATATAGACTCTATACAATAACACTTGAACTACTTGTGTGAAATTTTAAAACATAATCAATGCAATCTTGTCTTACCGATATTCTTAAACCACTGAAGAACTATGTTTTTAGACAGAAAAACAATTATGCATTGAAGAAAGTTTCAGTGCCAAAGAAACTCACATTGATTGATACTAGGATTCTAGACAAAATTTTGAAAGGATATTAAACTGCACAAAGTTTGCTGAAGATTCACTAGTTTGATGTTTTACTGTATTTGGTGAATGTATGCATCGACTTAATACAACTTTCATTTTTTTGATACCAAAATCCAGGTTCGGGATGCATTTTATGATGTTCAACACCTACGCTCGGGAAAAAGTCGTATCAAGTTTGTCAGGCAGAAAAGAACCAACTAGTATTTCACACTTTTTAATCGTTCATATCAACAAAAAAAACTACAGTGAAGGAGTATGAGATATATGCTTCTCTAAACTGTGGAGACTCTAGGGGATATGGCTCAGAACCGATGTCAGTGGCGCAGACGTATACATACATTATCCTCATCTTAACACTATACCGATTCTCACCATTTTCTCATTCTTCCTTTCTTTCTCCTTGTACTTTATATTCCTTTTGACTGAATTTTCTTATCTTCATCTTTCACCTCACTACCTTTCTACTTGATGTACTGATATGAGGTGTGGCAACTCGGACCGTTACGCAGTAATGCCTGGTCTTATGTTGGTACTGATGATGGTGATGATCTCTAAACTGACCATTCAACCGATGCTACTACTCTAACTTAGCTGTCGGGCTTGGTTATCACAATGACCCAACGAGCTATGCTGACTGAAACACTTGTCCCTTGAGGCTCCACCATGCCAAAAAGATCTATTGGACAGTGACAAGATAAAATGTGTGATGTAAATTGCTACGCTAATGTGGGGGCTCGAGCTAGAAACCGTATTGCTGGTTGCATAAGGGCGTAACGGCAGTTAGCTGTTTCCCGTGGATGACCAGCAGCGTCATGGTGATATTACCTTCGGTATGACAAGGGTCAAAGGATACCACACCTCCCCGCACTGTGTTATTCCGGCACCAAAGGTATGTGCTTTTGTTGTCTGGAGTTAGCATAACCAAATGTCAAATAAAAATCCCCGAAAATTCTGAGTTAGACCGTTTTTAGGTAGATATCTCTTGATCTCTGCGGTCACGCGCTATTATTGCTGGTTTAATTTGTCCTTCATAATCCTTGAGAAGAAAGAAATTTCAACGGCGTGGGCAGCAGGAAAGTTTCAACCACTCTTGTGACTCCATCACCACTCAGCCCACCTCAGATGATCATCAAACTTCTACATTTTTATCTTTCAATCTTTAATCATATCTCTTAGACAGTATTCTTGTGTCATCTTCAATTTCTTCAACCTTTACAGGTCCTGATAACGTTTTGAGTTCACAAAATAGTACAGCTGCGCTCGTGAAAAAACAGTTCAAAGTATATATCGGAGCTTTCAATGTCCACAGTCTCCGTCAAATCAGTTAACAAGCCTCACTAGCCCAAAACCCTGGTGTGAGATGTGCACATAAGATCTATGTGCAGTTACTAACATAACCTCAAATACAAAGAGTAGCATTACCTGACATGTAGTCTACCAAACTCAATTCAACGGTGAACACAAACCATTTTGCTATCACTTATCGTTGAAGAGGATCAGTGGAAGATTTCCCCTTTCTGGAGCGTCTTTGAAAATTGACCAGGTAATGTGAAATGCGGTGATAGGTTACAACAAACGCCTATTTAGACTTATCAAGGAAGTTGAAACAAAAAAGTTAATGGTAAGCATTACAATAGCGAAGAAGGATCGGTCTACGATTCACTAGCAGTGGAGACGACAGGGACGACGAGATGTTATTCCGTTGCTCACTATACAGTCATCATGAATGGAAGTAACTGACAAAATCAACGTCGAACCTCGCACACAGGTGCATCTTATCAAGTTGCCACATATCCCAGTAGTGCAAAAACAAGTAGATAGAAAGAGTGGTCTCAAAGTAGATAAAGTTGTATGCGAGAATGAACATTCTGAAGATAAAGGTTGGTGGGAATATTCAATGACTGAATACATCTGCGCCATTGTGACCGATTTTCAGTCATGTCACCAAGAGTCCAACCACTGATTCATTTCGTCTCAGGGACCCCAAATGGGTAGTATACACCCCCCTCCAATATGACTCAGAGTAACAGTAAGACACTTCACTGAACGATGTCAAATCTTGGTCTCGCCACCCTGAACCGTCTTCCAACTTCCCCTACCAGCATGGCACGCCGAGGTAGGCAGTGGTTCAGCATGCGCAGTACATGTCCAATCCATCTCAGTCGACTAAGGTTCACAACCTCATCAATCGACTTTCCTTTCTTGCCTGGTACTCTTCGCCTGACCTCAACATTACTCACACAGTGACCCCACTAAACATAAGCAACGCTTTAGTGGAACACTGAAATAAGGCTTCCAAGTCTTGAATAAGTTGAGATTGTCGGTAGGATCACACAGGTAGTACCAGAGGAGCTTAAGGATGAAGGTTGAGGATTACTGGTCAGGTTAACTGAAATTTTAGACAGCGCATAGAAATCAAACACGATCCCCTCTGCTCTCAATCGCTGATTGTACAAGTCTTCAAGAAAGGCGAGAAATTTTCTAGTGATGACCACAGGGGAATCAGCTTGGTAATATGTAATCTTCTGGACACCTTGAGAATGCTCGGGATGTATTTGTCGCCACCCGAATGCAAATCGTAAGTCTACGATTCGTCTTCAACGGCACCTTTTCAAATAATAGAGAATCAGGCATTTCAGTTTGTTCACCATCTCACTTACTTGGGAAGTCAGATCAACCCTAGTGAGTATCAGTAGTCAATGGAATCTCTACACAAATAAAAAGGGCTTGGTTGGCTTTCGCCAACTTACAGCATTGTGGCGCCGTCATGATATCCGACTGCCTAGTAGGGGTCGAGTGTACTGCGCTGCAGTCCACCCTGTTCCACTTTATAGTTCTGAAACGGGCATTAAAGGTAAAGGACATGAGAAGGCTTCAGGCTTAATCGTTGTTGCCTTTGGAATACAGATCGTGTCTCATGGTGTCACCGTGCCATTAGTGTAGAAGTTGGGTACAGAATCTTAGGGAGGAAAGGAAAGTCAATTGATGAGGCTGTGAACCTCGGGCATGTGTTATGTATGCCTAATCATCATTAATATAAGTGTAAAACTTGGGTATATGGAAGAATGTAATTCCATATTAGATTTGTTTATTTGATTCATAACAAGTAAACAATACTGTGTGTTGCAAATCAAATCAATAAATTTAATATGGAGTGCCTAATCCCCGTCTGTTTAGTTGTATAATGCTGGTTGGAGTAAATTTAAGCTGGGAGAATGTTGAAGGAGGTCATAATAAAACATGGTATCAGTCATTGAAGTATTTGACTGTTGGTCTGAGTCATGCAGGAGAATGTAGACTTTTCAGTTGGGGTCCACTTGACAACAGAAATCAGTGGTCCCAAACTAAATGACATGGCTCAGAACCGATCCCAGCGGCGTAGATACATCCAAGCATCACCTTTATACTAATGGTCTTGTCAGATTTCATATCTTTTCGCTTTCTTTTTACAACTCAAAACTACTTCTAACTACTTTAAAGTCTTACTTCTCTGTCTTTCACCTTGATGCTTTCTAACTTGTGCTTATATGAAGTGTGCAGTACCGTGACGCAGTAATACCAGGTTTAGCGTCAGTGCTGATTGAATGATCACTTGTCACTTAGACCTTAACTGGGCGTACAGCTCCGAATAATTGACAGACTGATGGTGACACGATGAACGCATCCCAATATGTTATTCGACATTGAATTCTGTTAAGAAAAATCAAAACAGCTGGAAAATTTTGTGGTCTCTGATTTCGGAGTGTCAGAGTCAAATAACGAAAACCTTTCTCCCTCCGAATTCCAGCAGACCATACTTGTGGTCATCGACAGACAAATAGAGACCCTTCGGTGCTATTTGTCTGTAGGTAAGTACGTCGTTTCACTTTGTTTAGCGATAGTTTACAACTCTAAGAGGTGGAGCAATGAGGACAGAGAGTTAACGGTAACAGAACTATAACCAGCGTATGAAAACCTAAGGTGATAGGTTTCAATCATGCAACGAAATGTCAGAATAACTGACACTGGCACTTTTTATTATTTTTAGTGACACTGTCAACTTTCAAGTATTTTATTGGACGTATATCTTTTAGAAGCTGTCGAAATGTTAAGTCCCATTTTGGCCCTTTAACGAAAATTTGCTTCAGACCTAGTTTTTAACTTTTCTTATCAATAACTTGATTCATTAACACATTCTACTTCAAGATCATCATAGCTTCAGTTATATACGTCTGTTTTGTGAATCGATTTATATTCCTCCAAATAAATGTATCTCATCGAAGTATTATTGTTATTGGGACTGCGTAGTCATAATATACATTTGCCCGTCACTAATTGCATTAGTTTTCAAACAAGATAAAAAAAGACATAGTGTGTCTAACTGGTACTCAATAGTTCAAGACTGCCAGTTCCGACCAGTACCACAAAATATTCATCTACAAAATGAATATAACGGAAACCCTAGATCCAGAAAACTGTGAATGTAACGACTAGAAACTCACAAAGGTGGAAGTTCGAGGAATAGGAAGCAATTGAGCTGTTCTAAACATCTCCATAGACTTCTACGCAGATGCTTTGTTAACACTGAAATTTTTTATAAAAGTTGCAAAAAACTTCTTTGACAATCACAGGCTGTTTCACGTTCAAAGGGATGTTACCCTGTCTAAGGAGCTGTCACTACTGAGTTTTACGGTGAATTCATATAATCCCTATAAACCTAAGGAATTCATTGGGAACGATTAAGTCTTCGACATGACATAAAATTCACACTCAGTTCAAGTGTTCAGATTATAGCGATGTGCTAAGTGTACCTGGGTATCTTACACTGAAGCCATTTCTAAAGCCTGGCATAACAGTTGCAGCACATAAATTGTAAACGGTTCATCGACACCGTAAAACGTGTATATTTTACTAATGCATTCCAGGTCTTCAACCATTACCTATGTGTATCAGATAGTGGAAGGTCTCATCGTCTGGGATTTAAGATGTTCTCACAACAAAGTAAATCACCTTATATTATACTTTTCCATATTCAAGGTTACAGGAGTCAAGTATTGAGATGCTTTTTGGACTAATATCAATGTTAAAACAAATTCTAAGCATAATTCAGACAAAGGGGAGGGATGATGATGCCTTTTCCTCATAAGTAATTCATCACCGAAGAAGATAGAAATTTAAGTTAGTCAGATGTCACAATTATTTTTAAGGTGAGTTGCATAAATGCATTTTAGTATTGCCTGAATGTGTTCGGAGATGCAAAAAATGATGCGTGAAGTGTTTTCAATCAGGAATGCACGAAAAAATTGTCTCAGGTGGGTAGGGGAGAAAAGAAAAGGATAAAGAACACAGGAGTGGAGATGACAATAAAAAGTTGGTATCATATTATTTTACACGTCACTCTGCCAGAAGGGATAGAGAGTAGAAGAGTTATTAAGTATGACTTCAACCGTGCTATCACGAGAGTGTCCACGAAGAAAGATTTGGGGCTCAACTTCTCAGACACCTTGAACACCAGCTCCAACTACAAAGGTATGACAACCAGAGCGAACGCCATTCTGCACTTTCTGCGTAGACAGCTTGGCGCCCTCAAACCGAACTCTTTCTCACCGTTTTCAAATCCTGCGTGCGGTCACACCTAGAGGTCTTCAATAAGGTGGCCCCCCAACACTCAAGAGAGACTCTAATCTCCTTGAAAAAATACAAAGAACCGCAACAAAATCAGTTTTGGGGCTAAGGGGAAACACATATCCTGAAAAACTTAAACACCTAAACCTATTTACCTTGAGTTATCGTAGGAAGAAGGGTGACCTTATTATGGCATACAAGATCGCCCATCAGGAAAACCACGCAAATAAATGTTTACCTGCGACACAGCGATCTTCACTAGGAAACTCCATTAAGATAGCACATTAGAGGGCCAACACCATACTCAGGTTCAATTTTTTCTCCCTGAGAATATGTGCTTTATGGGATGGCTTACCGCGACATATCATTATAGCTCCCTCAGTTGACTCATTCAAGAGACGGCTAGACAGTTGTTACCTCGCATGGTCTATCACGGATATATTCAATGAGTCACCAACCTCAGGAGCCCCCAACTCCCTCCTACCTACCACTCACTATCTCTCCTGAATACACCCACATCACCTACTAATTCTTCTGTAGGAACTAAACCCACGCTACCATCCAGGCAATTCCCATATACTTTTTCTCCCTTTTATTTCTCTTTTTCAGCGCTCCCTTTCTTTTCGCTTATTTTCTCTTTTCTTCATTCTTTTACCAGTACCTTACTATTCTCTTTCAGGTACCTGTACAGACAGGAGTAACAACAGTCCCCTAACCATCCCAGCAACCCGTAGCTCCCCAATCACTCTACAAAATATAACTTACTAACCCACAAAGCATCTACCTCACTGAGGCTAAAAGCAAAGAAGCAGAGGGGATTTCCTCGTCTACTGTAGGAGTGAACCTAACAACTCGAACCAACCCCTAAGAACTAGGCGCGAGTGATCAAAAACTATCAGTTTTCTACGCTCGCACTATCAATATTGGATATTGGAACCTGATGTATACAAAGGCAGTCATCTTGATTCCACGATATATGCGACCATTCTGAAGGTCTCGAGACTAGACTAATTTCAACGAAGGTGATTGCTCTTCATTGTTTTGTTAGCCTGGACCTAGATGGATAGCACGAACAGAACGAAATCACGTGTGCCGAATTTATACAACGCATCTGAAATCAGTGGGACAGTCTCTGCCATTCACTACACTGACATGTGTACAGTGGCAAATACCTCCCTTACACATAAATTGTTACGCTATTTATACCGATACCCTTTCAGTAACTTTACGTCATTAAATAACCAAGATATATAGGACAGCATATATGCAAAAAATTAGTCAAAGTAGCTACTGCACTGAGCATATACACAGCCGCCAACTAAGGCCAGTAGATTGCAAGCAAGTTGAGAACCTCTAGTGGTACGTGGTTGACGTATGGACAAATAAATATCCACAAGAAACATACAAGCAGCAAAGCTAAAGGTGAAGTATGTACCGCATGCACAAGGTTAAACCTTCAGTAAGGACAGACAGGAGAGGAATGTTCGGCACCGTGCGTAAAGCGTTAGGCGAATGCAAAGGCAGATATATATGACATCGAAAAATGCGTTCTGTGCACTCCTGTTGCATGTTTGCTTCATGTCTTTACCGTAGAACTGGTTTGGCGTTTTACACACTTAAACGTACGTATGTTGACTGCTTCCAAATAAACGTTCAAGAGTTTTACCAACTGTTAGGAAGGTAAGAATTTCACAAAAGATACAGCACCCGTATTAAACCTAACGTCCAGAATTGCACTTTATAAACAAGACATACAACTTATACCTGGACTTATTAACTAGGCGCACTGCAGACATAACACAAGTCCTGTAGAAAGTATCCAATATCCAATATCTTTTTAACGAGCTTGTGTAAACCAGTGCATTTCTTCTTGCTCATTTCTTGGTCTTGTGGAAAGGTTCCAGATCTTTGGCGGATTCCGATGCAGTAGATCCAACCACTCGTCATTTACAGAACAGGAAGTTAAGTGTTGGTTCGTTTGCCTTGGAATGTGGTGCAGTCGGCTTCTTCAGATGTCGAGTTGCCAGACAGTTGTTCGGACCGGTTGCTAGAGAGGGTTGGGGACAGTGAGAAAACCTAGAAAATGTTTGTGTAAAAGAGGAGAAGAAAACTGAACTAATGGAGTAATCCACTTGCACCCAAAGAAGGTGAGTAGGGGTGCAAAGGTATGAAGAACTTAGGTAAGTGAGGCTAATTTATGGCAAGTAGAAGGTGTGAAAAGGGCTTAAATGGTTACAGTAGAAAGAAAACTGGTTAGGGTGGCTTGACATCACTCCGTGTTCCAGTTATATGTGGGTAGACCATGAGTCTGCATGACTGTCTAGCCTCTTCTTGAAGCTTTTAATAGTTGGGGCCGAGACCACCTCTGCTGGTAATGCGTTCCAGTACCCGCAGACTCGGAGGGAGAAGAACTGTGAACGCACATGCGTTTTTGACCTTTGGTAGGCTATTCTATTGGGGTTTCCTCGAGGATCTCCGTAGTGGCCACTCGGCAGAATTCCTCTGGCCGAGTGACTTGGGTTACTCAGTATTTTGTAGGCCATTATTAGGTCGTCTCGTAACCAGTAGCTTAGAGAGTATAGGCCTAGGTCTTTCAGTCTCTCATCATGTGGTTTTCGTTGCATTCCAACAGCCCATTTTGTGGCTCGCCTCTGGACTTTCTCCAGTGAGTTCGTGCCTTTTTTTCAGCTGTGGTGGAGTGAAGACGTTATGCACCTCTAAGTGGGGCCGTACGTAAGTCTTATAGAGCTTCAGAAAGAGTTCTGCGGTGACGGCACCCAGTTGTCTACGCACAAAGTGTAGCACACCATATGCTTTTGAGGCACCACCTGGGTGATTGGAATTGGTGTCCAGTTTCTCCGTTACCGTTAAACCCAGGTCTTTTTCTACTGTGGTATGAGATAGACGTGAACCACAGAGATGGTAGGATACTTTCTGGGGACCATGAGTGCTGAAAAACATGGACCGGCACTTATCCAGGTTAAATGCCAGTTCGTTTTTAGTTCCCCATTCTTCTAGCGTTTTGAGGCCGTTCTATAACGCCACAGATTCCGCTTCTCAAGTTATTGCCCTCCATAACTTGACATACGCTGATGCATCAGAGTATAGAAGAATCGGGGAGCTGATAGGTTGCGGCAGGTCATTTACGAAGAAAACTTTCTGAGTGACGTTTTAAGTTGTAAGTTTTAATGTATTCAGACGAAAATAAAAGTACCTGAGAGCTCCAATGAAATGGATATTGGATATCAGAAATGCAGAAACGTACCGGTTCATTCAAGAGATGCGCTATCCAATTCCCAATATCCTTTTTGCGAGCTAGTACAAACTAGTTGATTTCCTTGAGCTTGTTTCCAGATCCTGTGCAATAGTTCCAGGTCTGGAAAGGATTTCGATGCAGCAGGCCTGCTTAGCTACCTGCTTCAGTTCAGGTTCCAACATCCAGCATCAATAGTGAGAGTAGAGGAAACTTGAAGTTTTTGAGCTCTCGCTTCTAGATCTTGAGGCTTGGTTCTTTCCGTTTGGTTGTACTCCTTCGACGGTCGCAGAGGTCTCTGCGCTTTCCTGTCTACAGCTTTGGAGGTATTGTTGGTCTATTTGAAGGTGTTTTATCTGCAAATTGTTGCTTGGTTTGTTTGGGGGGGGGGAGGGGCAACGGAGCTGCTGATAAGATCAATCAGCCGTTTGCAATTCTTGTTGTTGTAGGCACCTGAAGCAAGTGCTAGGCGTTATTTAAATAGTGATAGAGACGAGGTGTGGGGGAAATGAGAAAAAGACGAGTGAAAAGTACTTTTGGAAAGATACATGTAACTGATAATAATATAGAGGAGAGGTGCGTCTCATTGCAGATACTCGGGTTGCGGAATACAAGGGGAATAGAGGGATGGACGTACATATCATCAGTTGCCACTAACAAATGTTCGTGGCAAGCCATTTGCGTTCACATACTCATCCAGTAGTCTTTTGAAGGAGTCGACTGTTGTAGCTGTGGCCACTTCTTTCGGCAGCGCGTTCCACAGGCACATACTCTGTGGGCGAAGAAGTTACATCTCACTCTAGTCTTTGCCTTATGGTGGGGTATGCGACTAGGGTTCCCACAGGAATGTCGGTTTTGGACCGATAATGTTGTCCTATTTGGTGAATGATCCTGTGGGCTGTTATCAGATCACCTCGTTTTCTTCAACAGCTTAGTGCGAACAGGTTGAGTTGTCTGAGGCGTTGTGCATATGTTTTGCCCGTTAATCCAACAACCGACTTTGTTGCTCTTCTCCGTATCTTCTCGAGAGAATTGAAATTTCTCTTTAGTAGAGGAGGGGCTACTGTGTTGAACACCTCTAGGTGTGTTCTAAAGTAGGTTTTGAATACCATGAGGAATAACTCTGGGGTTAACAATCCAGTTACCTTCTTAGAAAGTGCATAATGGCATTCACATTTGCTGCCATCCCTTTATAAATATCAGCAGTACCCAGTGTGTCGGAGAAGTTTAGTCCTAGGTCGTTTTCTGTGGAGCCTTGGTGACTGCACGCCCGTTAATAGTGTAGTTGATTTTCGTCGCCTCTGGTGCGCGAAGATACATCACATTGCACTTCTCCAATTTAAAGCTTAAACCGTTTGCATCTAATCAGGTCTCTTGTTGCAGGTCGTTTTGGAGCATTATAGGATCCTCTTCATCGCCTATCGTCCTCCGCATTTTGATGTCGTTGGCGAATGGGAGGAAAGATGTGCTGATTTTATTGGGGAGTTCGTTTATAAATAGTAAAAGTAGGAGTGGTCCAAGGATCACTCCTTGAGAAACTCCTGTTCTTGCTTTCCTCCAGGCTGACCGAATTCTGTTTACTTTGGTGCGAAAGTCTCTATCCTCTAGGTCCACCGTAAGCCATGCTAAGAGGGGTTCATTGCTACCCACTTTTACTAGTTTGGCGAACATAGTGCGGTGTGGGACGCTATCAAAAGCCTGGGCCAAGTTCAAGAAGATAACGTAAACTTGTTATTTGTTGTCCCATCTAGTGGCCCAGTCATCACGAGCAGTCATCAAGTTTGTGGCACATGATCTCCCGGCCCTGAAGCCATGCTGGGTGGGATGGACGATGTTGTTTCTGTTAAGGCAGTCCCAAACAATATCTGCAACCAGGCTTTCCAGTACCTTGGAGAGTATAGGGAGTAGAGCTTTTGGTCTGTAATTACATGGGTTATTTCGGCCTCCCCCCTGAAGATTGGTGAGAGGATGGCGCGATCCCATTCTTTGGGGAGTGAGCAGGTTGCATATGGGTATGCTTAGTACTTCGACACAGTTGCGTAGGACAACCTGTTTTGTGTCGTCACAGCCCGGGGATTTCCCTGTTCTCGGCGTTGAAAGTTTCGCGAACACTTTGCTTGACGAAATCTTCACGTTTATCGGCTTTGTATCGCAGTCCTGAGACTTCGTTACATTGCTAGATGTTGGTAGCGGATGGATAACTGGGTTGAGTTGCTCGTCAAATCGACTGCTCAACAATAGCGCCATCTCACTGCTGTTCAAGAGTCCTGGCCCTGTGATCAGGTTCAAGCCCTTATTCGTCGGTTTACGTTGTGCCAAAAGCCGATACGGACTTGTCGGATTGCAGCTCAACTGTTCAGCTGGGTTGCTTTGGTGTGTATACCTGTCACTAAGAACCCTTATATTACACAAGTTTCGTAAGTTCTTGTGGCTATGAAGTTCTGACTCTTTGCGTGATGTACGCCGCAGGTGCCATGCCTTCTTTTTCCTCTCTGTTTGTCTTTGGGTTGCGCAGGTTACCCAGGACCGTTTGAGAGGTGGCCGTGCGGTTAATTTTGGAACACTCTTTTTGATAGCGCTCCAGATAATATCTTTAATCCTTATCCAGTGTTCGTCTATCGATAATGAGTCCCATTCTTGCGGCCATGCAGCCTCCAGGAATTCGCTGTTCATGAGGTGGTAGTCTGCTTTTCGGTAGCAGCGGAACGCTTCTGGCCCAACTACTGGTGCTGTCTCTTTGGTTATCAGGTAGAATCTCACCAATGCGTAGTCGCTTTTACCTAAGGGGGGTTGAGCACAGATATTGTCCACCAAAAGACCATCGTCTGCTACAGAGTAGTCCAGTGGTGATCTTTTTCCGTCTGGTCCCCACCTGGTGGGTTCCCCAACCTTTTCTGTTAGTCCTGCCGCCAAGAACGTATTTTGAAGTCTGTGTTCAAAAGATTTATGCCCACGTCTTACTCCACACCCCGGGTCGAGTGTTGGTGTGCTGAAGTCTCCAGCGAGGACTACATGGTCATAGGCTGCCAAGGTAGTTTTTGTGATGGCACTGAGCAATTGTGCCTTATACTCTGTCGTTCAAAGGGGAGGCCTATATACTCCTCCTATCGGCTACGTGGTCTGGTTTGTGGTGAAACAGCACCATAGGGAGTCTGGCAGTAAGCTGAACACACCACCGGTCACTTCCTTGGCATTAAGATGAGTGCTAGTATATATGGCCACTCCTCCGCCTTCTTTGAACTGCCTGCCCTTTCGGAACAGGGTCATGTTAGGCAAACACATTTCCTTATCCACTATGTCTTCTGACAGCCATGTCTTAGTGGGGAGAATTATGCCTGCTCGCAGATTATGGCACATCGCTTTTAGCTCCGATGCTTTTCTCCTAAGACCTCTCACATTGCTGTAGAAGCATGTTGAAGAGCTACGTTCTGGGCTTGATGCGATATGGGGACTTGTTTGGAGGCTAGTGTGCCGTTGCCTCGGATTCTGCCTGCCAGTCCCTACTGGACTGGTAGCTCGTGGTTTACTCCCACAGCACCGTGTAGCACCTCCTATATGATTTTTCACACGGTACCGTGCCGTGAGAGCTTCTGTTAGTGACGCTTTGTAGTCAAAGCGTAAAACTAGCAATCTTGGTGAGGAGATGCTCTGCAAGTGCATAGGTCTTGGAAACCTACTTACGCTGCTGGCAGGTAAATTTCCGAGTCCCATTTTTGCTGCTAACCACCTCCACTGCTCGACATCATAAAGGTAATTATCAAGCTTCGTAGAACCACCCGCCAGTTCGGGTATTTCGTTCACCACCATGGTTGCAGCTTTGTGCAGGTCAATAAGTGGGGAATTCCCCTCTGCCTCTTGGGTGACCCAGGGCCTGTCTAGCTTCACCCGTATGGGGCAGGAGCCCGCAATGTCCGGTCGGTGCGACAGTAGCAGTGTGTTCCCCGACTGTTTCGCCGCCATTGCAAACACCCTGAGTGGCAGCGGCTTGTCTGGAGTTGCTTTCTATCAACCTGTCACTCTATTCACCTCCGTCCAATCATTTTCAGAGCCACCTGTTTCCTCAGGTTTTTCAGCCCCTTTGGATTGTCTGGGTGACGGTCATAAAAGCGAGCACCTTTCTGGTTTCTCACCTGGGGTGGGAGCCAATTTTTCTCTGCCTTCAGCTGTGGCATTTTCGCACACATGTGGAGCTAGACGCGTTCTGGGGGAGGATTGTTGGAGTTCGTTCTTTATAAAGTTTTGACTGAACCAGGTTTTTCCAGTTTGCCAGTGGTGATGGCCGGTGATTTCCGGCATTCTGGGCATGTACACCACATCCATTTACATGGGGACTTCCTCATAAAGCTGTGAGACTGCCCTGGTAAACCATCATCACAGCCACAGTGTAGCCATCTGAGACAGATGTTGCACGCAAAGGCTTTCTGACAACATCGATTGTTTGCAAACACCACGGTCATCACAGGTTTGCTTTTTGTTGATGACGGAGTGGTTTACTTTCTGTATGGTGATGTCAATCGTGGCGCGTTTAACCCATGCATTATTCTCCACTAACGGTATGACTGCAGATGTGCTGCTACAGGAGTTTGCCGGCTTCAATAAATGCTGCTCCTGACGTGGCACTGCCATGGGGATCTTAGACGGTGATTGTGCTGCTGAGCCCATCTTTTTAGCACAGATTGGATTCCGTCCACCTGCAGGCCTCGTTATACGGTTAAAAGCCTGCAATCTGGTACTTTGAACCATACAATTAATGTAAATTAGGAGGAGAACGATTCGTAAAATAGATAGCTTACCAAGAGGAACTTGTACTCGGTTTCTCTCTATCAGCAACTTTGACCCAATACTCTAAATGCGCATGTAAAGACCAAGAAAGATATTTCCTGGTGAATGATCTCCGAAGGGAACCAAAAGCTATAGCATTTGAGCGGTCCAGACGACTACGAATCACCAGCAGGAAGTACTTCCCAGTTGAGAAGGTAGTTGTGTCGTTGTAAGTAGCAATTCTTGCGTTCAGTTGATTAACTGAATCGCGTT